TTGGCGCCAAACTCCGCCTATATGGCGCACGACACGCCCATCACAAACACTCAGCTTTCCCACTTTTAATTTTTTCCCCTTTTCCCAGTCTACGGACATCTTGGGGCCGAATCATGAAGTTTCGTGACGAACTCCGCCCACTTCGGCGTGCGCACGGTGGCGGGGACCCCATCCAATTTTTCTTCCCGGTTTTCAAGTGTTCTTGGAGCGGAGTTATGAGTCTAGTGACAAACTCCGCACACGTCACCCCCACCATCCAAATTTGACCTCCCTCCTTCTCTAACCTCTTTCCACTTTTTTCCGATTCCGGGGACTTTTCTGAACCGAATAGGTGCTATTACAGATTATGAAAAGTGAAGAATCGTACGTGATGACATTTTTTGCTAACTTGTTTTTTGCTGTCTGCTTATCAACTCAGTTAAGTGATCCTGTCGGGCTGATTCCCGAAGACAAGTACATGGAAAGCTTAGCAGCTGGGGGTTCATCAAAAAAGCATGCTAGAGGAGGAGCACAAAAGAGAACCCGCTTTGTTGACACAGGAAGCAATGGTATGTGAGCCTTCCTAGTCTGGCTTTCGAGCAGAATCCGAAATCTCAAGCTTTCATGTAGAGTGCTTTTTTTCAGTTGGATCTGCTGTGTCCGATCGTACTCCTGATAATGCCTCTGACCTTGAGGAAGATGGTGCGGAACAACAGGAGGTCGGCTCAATATCAAGTAGTTTGGAAGCGCCCCAAGAAGACAGGTAGGTTTTTTAAGGGAGATACCGTTGAAGTAATCTAGTGGGACCAATGTTCGTTCTTTTTTTCATCGTGAGCTGGAATTTGTGGATCAATTAATGAAAGGTCTACTCATTCGGTGTGCGCAAAACTCCACGGCGTTTTGGTATGCGAATTGAAGAGATATTATTTTCCAGAATGCTTCTACTCGATGAAGATGGAGCTTCAACCATTCCTGACAATGTATCCGACGTCGATGAAACTGGGCTAAGTGGTCGTGGTTCAGCAAGCCTAGATGGGCGAGAGTCTCCGTTGAGTCAAGCACCTAGCCAAGGACTCCGAGATGGCCAGGAGAACGGTTAGCCAGTGTTCAAGTGTACATCCATATGGGTCCAGCCGTGACTGTTGCAATTGGTGTTGCGAGTCGGTGGGTTTAGGAAAGGGCTTGCGTATTGTGGATAGGGAAACCCTGGTGGCTTGCGGAAGACAAGAGCACAGATAGTCAAGTAGCAGCCGTGCACAACGGCTAAGTAAGGAATGAACAAACTACTTAATAAACCAAAGAAGTGACTTTAGTAAACTTACTCGTTAAATATATTAGGTTGGAAAGAAAGTCCTGCAACACTTTTTCAATTTTTGATTTTAATTTTATCTTTTTTGGTTACAACTCCTGACCGGTCTTATATCTACCATGAGTGTCCACCACTTGTCTTCAACGCTCAGAAAATTTCTTGATGCTCCTTTGCCAAAACCCAGCGGAGTGCGGGTCGAGAAAGGAGGCGACCTCACTTTCGAGTTGGAGTTGATCGTCTAATTATTTCGTCATCAAGATGATGATTTAAGGTCCAGGATAGGTGGCAGTCATTTATAGCTCGACCAGGGAATACGCTAAGAGAGGTAAGAAATCTTGCCGCAGCTCCAGAATTTCTTACCGGGCTCATTTCGGATCATGGTGATTCGCAATGTCATGAAAGAAATAATATTGTCGCGGTACGAGGGCTCCTGACGAGCTGCCTCGGCCAGCTTCTGGAGTTCCGCAGCCTAGACCTCTACCTACACAATGGTGCCCATAACGAAGAATTTGTAGTGGAGCTTCCGTAAGAGCCCTACCTGTAATGGAGTGTATGGGACGCTGCTGGCTTCTTATAAAAATATCAAAAGATCGAAAGCGCTGGTAAAGGTGAAACACGCTGTAGCGGTGAACGGCATGCCTATTGAAGCTATTGCAGATAGTGTTGGTCTTTGACACGAATCCATAGTTATGGAGACATTTGTACTAGACAGTGACTCGGAGTATGGATTTACTAGTGGTCGAGGTTTTTTGAATTTCCTTGGATAAGTACTGACTGACTAAAAAAAAAGAAAATTTCAAAAAGGGTGTTGCAGAACCTTTCTTTTTAACCTAGTATAACGTGTGGGTCTTAATTCTTTTGCTACAAAACGCGAGCAAAAATAGGACTAGTTTTTTGTGGTTATGTACTACCTTTCTCTTATGAACTAATTATTACGGTATATGTTAGTAACCTCTTAAACTAACTCGCATTGGGTCGCTTTCCTAAACCCGCCGATCGACCGCAAGTAGCTTAAATTAAGAATCATATCAGTGAAGGGAAATTCTAAGGGCTAACGCCCTGCGAGCCTGCAGAACCGACGACATAGGGGCAGAACCTTGAAGAGACGGGGAACACCGGGACAGGCCGTGATGGTGCTGTTGCGAACAGCCCGTGCGTTTCCGCACGATCACGGATAGATCAGAAGGGGTCATGTCGGCAGGACTTCGCAGGCGCCACTGCGCCCAGGGTCCTGTTGGAGCGGTTTTCGTGGTACGCGACATTTGTTATTTTTAGAGATGGCAGATCTCGGGGCGGTCTCTACAGCTGCAGGTGGCGAAACCGATGCTGCTCAGCGGGTACTCCCATCGGGCGTACCAGTTGCCGTTCGTAAACAGAATGCTGAAGGACTTGAGGAGAAGTTCGGAAAATTTACTGTGCCGATGTCGCAGCAAAACAGGCGTGAGCTACCTTGAAGTTTTGGAATATCTCGTAAACGAACTTGAATTCCACTGATTTGATATCCTTAGGTGATGATCAGAGATCATTGTTATCCGACAGCTGGTCAACAAATGTGGTGCCGTCAGATGATGAAGGTCCATCTCTGCCTCTTCTACCCCACCTTCCCTCAGTTGATGCTCCTGACGGTAATAATCACCGAGGTCGCGCTGTCAACCGGTAGGCTACTTCAAGCGTCTTACTGTGTAGAACAATTTGATCTGTTTCCTGTGATATAACTGCATTGTTGTGAATCACGATTGCTTAGCACTGGATCGCTTTGCGGAGCAAGTGCCGCTCCGGAAGACAGGAGCGACACGTGGTCCTTAGATGCAATAGCAAGCGACTCTGAAGCGGACGGTGGTCGAGAGCGAGGGAAGACAGGTTCGCCGATTTGTTTTCTTTTGTTCAAAGTAGTTGGGGTAAGAGTGCACTGTTCCGATGTGGGTTGTAATTGGCCAAGCACTGTGAGGAATGCTAGGATCGAGCGGAACACTTCTGATCCGCAGGACGCAGAGATGTGCACAAGGTGAATCAGCTACGGCCGCAGTATAGGCTTCGCCCTAGCTAAGCAAAGGATACGATTGCTGCAAAATAACGAGATTTTTACATTTGGTATTCGTTTGTCCTGGTTTCATTTCAGAATGGTGTTGTTCTTTTCAAGGTGGCCGATGTTACGTACGATCTATCGAGAGCAGAACGCAATGGTAGCTCTGACGCAGCAACTTCGGTAGGATAGGGAAATTTGACGACATTCTCTCCGGTTTATCCACTGTTATATTAAGCATATCGCCGTGCCTTGCGTTAGTGTTCAACCGCTTGTTGACGTACCGCATCATGGGGATGGTGGAGCAAGACTTCGTCGACATAGCAGTGGTAGTTCGTTCTCATACAGCCGTAGTGAGGCTGATTCGGAGATGAGCAAGTTTGTTTCAGAATACTTGATGTGTTGTTTACTTAGGCTTGTTTTGTCTCAATGTATTATTCTACTGATTCTCTTAACATATTGTTGGCGACCTTTTTTCGGCCTTCATGTCGTACTAAATTTTGTGTCAACATAGTCGTTCTAATATACTCTTTGCAGCTTTAGAGAAGATCGAGACCGTGCAGGACCAACCGATTCACTCACTGCTATACGTGCGCAGGTACCTTTGAAGTAGTTCAGAATAATGTCCTTGTCTATTAGAGAACTTTCCTTTGTCTGTCTGTCAACTGTCAAACCCAATCCTGTTATGGGCAGTCCCAGTTTAGACAACACACATATTCACTCGCGGCTGCGTATTAAGCGCTTCAGGAGTTCGAAACACTGTTAATATAATGTCACATTGTTCAGGCCATCGCTAGTGTAACCATAGGAACATAGGCGGTGCTCTCGATACATTCGATATGTGGTCAGATTTACTTAGGCTTACCACGAAAGGCTTTCAGGACATGGAGCGCCTTTTTGAAAACGGTTTTTTGCATGATAAAGGGGCACATGCATGGAGTACAAAACTAGGCTCCATTTTTTCTGAGCGGCCCTCTGAATGCCAAAAAAGGAGTGAAAAAAGTTTCTTCGGAAATCGCAGTTTTCACACCTTCAACGTGGTTTATATCACTCGTAGCGTTAAGTGGGCGCACAATAGAAGGTTTCCTTCACCTGAACGTTGAAAACAGCGTGGAATAAAGCCAATACAAAAATTGTATATAATAAGTGCTCAAAAGCACAAGGAAGTTTCATCAGAGTCGTCGACATCCATTGGCCAGCAGCGGTCGGATGGTAGAGTGGACAGCATGGTGGACGTTAGTTGGCTTCATTAGAAGTTCGCGTTGTTTTCAATGCACGATAGCGGTAACCCTTTAATATGACATCAGTCAACGTTGTGGACGATATGCCCCACAATGAAGCCGTAGAAACGACAGTTTCCAAGGTAATTTTTCTTCGCTCCTTTTTTGGTATTCAGAGCCATTTAGGAAAAATGAACTGTAGATTTGTGGTTCTTGCATGTGTCCCTATATCATGCAAAAAACCGTTTTGAACGACCTTCCTGCCACTATAATACCGAAGAAGATATAAGTAGCGCTCATTGTCAGAGCTTTGGTTGAACCCCTTTTCGACTTTAACTTTTTCTGTCGAATCAGCTAACAAAGTTGGTCGTTCAGGGTTTGCCGAGCTTTTCAAAACATCTTTCTGATATAGGGGCACATGCAGGAATCACCAAGATATGGTTCATTTTTCCTAAATGGCTCTCTGAATACCAAAAAAGGGCGAAGAAAAATTACCTTGGGAACTGTCGTTTTTACTGCTTCATTGTGACGCATATCGTCCACAACGTTGACTAATGTCATATTGTAGGGTTCTCGCTATACGTACATTGAAACAACGCGAACTTCGGACACAATGATGCGTTTGTCCAAGCTATGTGTCATGGTTTCATGAGGAACTTCGGTGCCAGGGTGTCGGAGACAAGTGGAATAATGGATGACGCGATGAACTGTAGATGACGATGGGTGGGAGGGTTGCTGGTTCAACTCCTTACGACTGGGGGTTTTTGGATTTTTCACTTACGCTTCAGCATGAGTGCCAAATGGTGCTATCTCTATACCGAACTTCATATTCATGATCAGGGTCACAAATAATCTCATTGAAAGAGGTTTCCTTCAACAATTAGGGGAAACATGTCGCGGCCTTAGGATGGCGCCAAATTGCACTGGCGCCAAAAAAGAATGTCATCTTCGTGATCAGGGCGCTGATCTAACACCGATAGCGAAGTTTTGGGGGAGATCGAGATTTTGACTCGTCCTTGAAAAATTGGGCCGGCTGTAAGGACAACCCGATGTGTGTACTCGCACGGCTTAAAGGCTAGCTCGGAGTGGAAAATTAGGGCTCCCCTCCTGTTATAGGCACGAATCGAGGTTTTTTCTCTATGGGACACATCTCTTACTTCGTTGCCTTCTGTGATGTCGATCTAGCTAGCAACAAGAGGCCTAGCCTGTGGCAGGGCCAAAAATTCAACCTGCCACTATTTGACGGAAGGAGAACCTAGCGACCTAGTCATCGTGCGTGGTCCTCGGCCATCACCGGCTTGGTGTCTGCCATTGCTCATTGTAGGTCAGGATTTCTCATTTCTAGAGTGCGATTCTAGATGACAAGGAGACCGTTTTCAAATCATTCACCGTCAGGCCTGACACATATTGAACTACCCATAGTCTAACTGTTCAACACGTTGACGACATTCTGACGCGCATGCGCGTCAGAACTATGCTGTTCATTTTTATTGTGCTTGCGCTCCTTCTTCTCGAGTTTTTTTGTATTCATTCTATAGATAATACATTAGCATAACTATAAACCACATGGCAGCCAGAGTGGTCAAATATCCCTTGATTTAGCAAAGATTTTCTGAACGCACAAAACTTTCATTTCAATTCTTTCCTAGTATTCCTTTCACTGTCGTAAACATTCATATGAAAGATTGTAGAAGCAGTTAATACAAAACTCTGTGAGTTTCAAGATATTTGTATTTGATGGAAGAACTTAGATATAAATGCTTTTAACTTCATTCGCAGCGAAAGTGATGTTTTTTGCTTCTTCGTGGTCATTATGCGTTCTTCTAAACAAAAATCTACTGCCATTTATACAGTTTAGCTATAGTTAACCTTTATGCTTTCATCCTTGCCGAAATAATTCTATGAGATTCAAGTTTTGTGCATTTTAAACAAAAAATAAGCGGAAGTAAGGTGAGGACGGCGCGCTCGCAAAATCGCTCCTGTCCCACGCGGTGCAAAATGCCAAAACATGCGATGTCGTCAACGTGTTAAAATTGGGTCAAAATCTTATTTTCTCTCAAAATTCGCTTGGAAGGGTTATCCAGCGCCCTGATTACGATTATGACATTCGCTTTTTGGCGCTGACGTCATCTGGTGCCGCTATGACGCCTTTCGGTGCCAAATTGGTGTCACGAATTCCATCACCAGTTTTTTAGTCAAAAGCTATTTGTAAGGGTTGCTGATGGTTCCAATTATGAACACGACATCCAGTCTTGGCGCTGACGCCATTTTGCGCAAATTCTGAAACGCCAACTCAAAATGCAAAAGTTTGTCACCGCAAGGAATCGAACCACGGACCACTTCATCACCCCTTTTTTGGTATTCAGGGGGGGGGGGGGAAGGAACGCTTAGGAAAAATGAACCATGGTTCTGTGGTTCCCACATGTGCCCCAACCCAACCAGTCATGCAAGAAACCATTTTGAAAAAGCTTGGCACACCCTGGAACGACCTCCCTCGTAAGCTAAAATTTCAGTGTCTCGGAAGCAATTCCCTCTTCACTAATAGCATGCTAGTGTCAAATGGGAGAAAGAGTTGAGCATGGAAAACTCATTTACTAAAAGTTCTCTAGTGTGACTAAATCCCAAGTAAATTACGAATTCTTGTAAAAAGCACAAATTCAACAAAACAGTTGACCGCGTAATGAAGAACATTAAACAGATTCAATGCTTGTTGCTGACTGTGGCTGAAACCTCAGCAGAGTCTAAGTGTGGAATCTGATAGTGAATGCACAGCTGCTGGGCAATCTCCACAATTTTCTTCTCAGGCTGTGACATGTTTCTGGTCTATATTCCTGGCTCTTTTTTTTTGCCAGAGATTTCCCTAATTTTTCCATAGTGCCTCGATGACGCTCAGGGAAATGTATCTAAATTGGTCCTTCCATTGAAACCATGCTGTCAAAACTAATTCACCGTGAAGGTGCGATGCTTTTGGTCGCTGTATCGACAGAAGAAAAAGAATACCGTACAGGTGCCATAAGTGTGGATACACAACAACTTCTACCGCATACGCCAGAATTACTTGCTCAACTGGCAGAGTTTGATACATTGTTTTTTTGAAACCATTCTCTATCAAATAGTCACCAACCTCTTAAGTACTTCGACATCTATGAGAGATCCAAATCAAAGTTTCCAACTCTTGTTTCTTTCAACATTATCGGGTCTTATTCATCCTGACCCGAAATCATTCAGCTGCGACAGCTTAGCCGCTGTTGGAAAAACAGGCTTCAAAACTATTCCGTAAGGAGAAGAAATGTGATCATTGCCAAAACGTTTAAGGACGTCGCTACGCAAACATGCCCAGAGAGAGAAAAAAGAGCAGCTGCAACTCCAACGAAAATTGTTAACACATTGACGACAACGCGGGGATATATATCCCGCGCATTGCAGGCCATGTCGGACCGTGCGGGATATATATCCCCCGCACCCATTACACTCATTTTTTTCGCGCACGCCTGATTCTTTTGGAAGTTTCTTGTATTCATTCCATGGAAGAGACCTTGACGTAGCTACAACATAGTGGCCCTTAGAATGGTCACGTATGCTTTAATTTAGAGGAGGATTTCTGAACCATACGAAATCTTCATTTCAATAAATTTTCGTTTACTTTTTCTTTTTATTAATGTGAAGATTTAAATAGTAGTAGAAGTAGATAAGGAACCTTAGGGATGACAATATGTGTGTTTTGATTGGAATAATCAACGTAAAATTGCTTTTGAGGTCCATTGCAGCTAGTTCTGAAAATTTCGCTTTTTCATTGTTATTCCATGTCTTTCGATCGAAATTCCACTACTGTACCCCTGGTTAGGTTGCGCTCATTACAATTTACTGATTTGGTTTTGAATTGATCATTAGTTGTGTATTTATCACTCAAAATCTGCTTGAACGACCTGAGGCGAGCGCGCCCGCAAAATCGCCGCGGTCCCACGTGGCCAAAAAGCCAAAGGGGGGTTGTTCTTGGGGATTTCCCCAATCCCGCCCCCTTGCCGGCCGTCATTGGACGCGTCGGCAATCGTGCTCGTTTTGGGACCACAGGGAAAATTGATTGAAAAATGGAGCGCGTTTACAGCGGGCACGTTCAGACAACTCGTCCAACGTGCGTCTTTATCCATTGCTGAGCGGCAGAGGGAGAGTACCTGTCTAAGACCCTCCCCGACGTTTTTTTCCAGTTTTTCATACATTAATCGTCTGGTTTTCATCTACAACTTCATTATTGGTGGTTTTTTCCCGCGAAACCGTTCCTGAACTGTTGCTTTAAAGTTATTCGAAACATTGTGAGACGCAATCCGGGAAAATAATGGGGAACATTGTCAAAAAGGTTGGGGATCAGCCATACCTCATCAGATCGCATTGTTTA